GGCATTTTTTACCAAAATAAATGTATTGTTTGAATACATAATGTATAATTGATTTCTAACTGCATTTAGGTTAATGTATGCATGCTTACAATCCCCTTTATTTAATTATACCAACATCTTGTTGCATCTGCACTCATGTCCTTTTTTTCCACAGACAAAATGACTGAAATCCACACTAGCTAAGTGTCGGTAAAACTCCTTCGAGCCGGATTTGAACCAGCGACCTAAGGATTACAGGTTTGTCCACTACAGTCCTCCGCTCTACCAACTGAGCTATCGAAGGTTAGTATTGTTGGTATTGGATTCTAACCCGCTCAATGATTTAAACACTGGCCTGCCATTATGCTGATGTGGCCCTCTGTGAAAATGAGTTCTGATCTGATTTATAGTCCCTCAGTGATTTTTTTATCTGATATTTTTTATTGATTGATTGTTTTACAATAGACGAGGTGGTAAAGGCGATGGATTTCTAATCCATTGTGCTCTGCACGTGTGGGTTTCGAATCCCATTCCTGTTGGTATAATGTTGTGATTTACCTATATTTGGATAAGTTTGTGTAAGTATATTTGGATATGCAAGTAAACAGTCATTTTGACACTGGCCCTTAGGAGGGACAGTTAAAACGAGCTATGCGCTGCCCGGCTTAAAGAAGCTATACCCAATTTTTTTTTTCTAAGTAGTTCATAAAAATGCTTATTACTACATACAAGTTGTATTATAATCCATAATGTAATTGAAAACTTGAGGTCATTGATTCAGCGGTGTATGAGTTACGGCCGTGAAAAGTGCTGAGCAGAGTCTTAACGGGACATTTTTAGCTATATATTGTGTTAGCAGTGCGTTGCTTTAGTACCATTTCATCAGTGATTGTTGTACAGCTTACAAGAAGTTTTGCAAATTGCTAATGTTAGCATACGTATCAGATCGCAAATTGAGCTAGATGGCTCCGTGTTATGAGAGTGTAGGGAAATGAGAAGCCATTGAGCGAGTTGGGGGGCGGTGCTAAACATTCAAACCTTGCAGAAACGGGTATAGCGCCCTTAAAAGTCGCAGGGCATGTGAAAATGGCTCAATGTTCTGAAGAAAAAAAACAATAAATTAAAACCTACATGCATTGAAGTTTCACACACGTGCAGCGACCAATCAGAGAGCTGCAAAGTTGTCCCGGGACACTTGCAATTGGAGAAGAACTTTACACAAAAAGCTGCTGGCTTAACTCCATTAGCATCAAAGCCTGCTTCCTCCCTGTGTTTTTTTCCCACCACAGGCCAGGACTTCCGGTTTTCTATACTCTAGTGTCTGAAATTTAGAGAATGTGTGTCCAGTGTGCGTGGAAGCTGCGTTCAGCTTTTCGGGGGTCTTCTTCCTAATCTCGGCATTGCTGAGTCAACTTTTTAGCTGACTAATCATTTTTTAGTGTCCATTGTATATGCTTTTTCAGACGAGGTGGCCGAGTGGTTAAGGCGATGGACTGCTAATCCATTGTGCTCTGCACGCGTGGGTTCGAATCCCATCCTCGTCGTAGCAAATCTTATTTTCCTCTGCTTGGATATGCAACAAGAGGTATTTTCACACAGGCAGGTTATTTTTCACAATTGTAAAGCGCTTTGTGATGCTGGTCTGTGAAAGGCGCTATATAAATAAAGATTACTTACTTTTTTTGCTTAAAATCATCTCACGGCCACTCTCCATTTTGCCTTTGAGCACCTTTTGTGATTCGAGGACTGATGAGGTGGACGGTGTAATTTAGACATTTTCCTTGGGTCGAGGATTTGTTTTGCAGACCCATTTTACGCCTTCAGCATTTGACTTTGGACTAAAGCAGAGAAAATGGTCCGAACCCAGCGGTTACATTACCTCTGCTGCTGTGACCTAAAGTGCTGTTGGATTAGAATACTATTGTTGGCTATTTTTAGAATTATCTATTTATTTGTTTTGTTTGTATGGATGCATGGTTCAGCTGCTACTGGACACCTGAATTTCTCCTACGGGGATCAATAAAGTATATCTATCTAGGGTGCTAGTCAAAGTGTCCTCCATCATGGGCAACACCTCCCACCCACTGCACAGGACTATAGAGGAGCTGAGGAGCTCCTTCAGTGGAAGACTGTACAATGAGTCACTTTAAGTCACTTGCACTAGGACTAAACAACCTGCACTACTCTTGCCACTGTTTCTTTGATTGCCACTTTTTATTGTACATAATATATCCTGCTTTTAACATGTTTGCACATTTCTTTCTTTTGCACAATCCTGAGTGATTCTATCCATGCCAGATGTGACATGTACATTTTTCCTGTGTGAGATCAATAAAGTCTATCTTATCTTATCTATCCATCTATGAGTATGCTTGTCAACCAGTGTCAGGATTAGGGTTGGGTGTGATACGCTACTGTACGATTTGAGTAACGTAGTAGTGTAACCCGTTGCTATGAGAATATGTGTAATTACATTACAGTTACTACCTAAATACTTTGTTACCGGCAGCACTAGCCCACCGCTGTATTCGCGCCTGCCTGAGCACATGAGTGAGTTGGTTTGTAAAGCAACATAGGAGAGGAAGGGAAAGTGTTGAAGGGAAGAATGAGGACTAACACACACTGCCAACCTGACCTCATATACATCCAAATAATTTAAAACTAATGTCAGAATGTGTAATATAGAACCACTTATGTCCACTGTCACTTTGTACCTTGATGTTTACAAACAACTATATATTTCTTGCACTGGAATATACAATCAGTCAATCAATCAATCATTTATTTGTATAGCACAAGTTTTATTTTAATTAGTATAGCTATTTACTTATTATATCTTGTGGTGTGTGCTCCTCTCTCCTACTGTTCTATAACTTGTGAAGCAACACTGAAATTCCCCCACTGTGGGACGAATAAAGGATCTCTTAATCTTAATCTTCGTGTACAAGGCAATTCTAAGTGCTTCACTAGAGATTTTCAAAACACAGTTAAAAAAGCATAAAAAAGTCAATAGATGTTCAAATTTTTTCATTTTAAAATAGCGGGATAAAAGTATGGGGTTTAAAACTCATTAAGTGTGTTTAAAAACGGAGATAAAAGTAATAAGTAGTACAAAAAAGAATCAGTTGTATGCACAGCAATTTGTTTTTAACATGGTCACGGTAGAGGCCAGTCTCACAACCCCAGGAAGACCGCTCTATACCTTAGCTGCATACATCTGAAATGCTGCCTCACCATGCTTCATCCTGATTCTGGGCATCAGCAGGAGGCTGGTCCCAGTGCTTCTAGGAGTCTGAGTATTTTATCTTGCCTCTATTATGTTAAAGTTATAGATTTTATACTTCATTAAGCCAAAGTTAGAGGGTTGTTATAGAGTTATTTGTTGATTTATCATGTTGTGTTCTACTCATTCTTCTGTTAAAAGAAAAAATATATATGCTGGAGGATGCGGGCATCGATCCCGCTACCTCTCGCATGCTAAGCGAGCGCTCTACCATTTGAGCTAATCCCCCTGTGAGTGATGCTGTTTCAGTAATTTGTATAAAGAAATTATCACAATAGCAACTATTTACAACATTCTAAACAGGAATATTTGAGACAGTGATAATCAAGACCTGTGAAAAAAACCGTTAATCCACGTTCATGAGGATTTTGAAGATCTCAGTGAATAATTCCGGACTCTTAATAGTAATGTTAAGGGGGATTAGCTCAAATGGTAGAGCGCAAAGTAAGCCCAAGTAAGCCCATCACCAACCAATCAGCGCACGGCCTCGTGCTCTCTCGGGCCAATCACGTCGCGAGCTGGTGGGCTTACTTTCGACCAATCACGCTGCACCTCCCGGTTCCCTCATAAACTCCCGGAGGAAGTGCGGAGATATCAGTCATCGACATCTGACTGGACTTCTTTAGCGAGCGGTAGGTTTAAACATATTTACTTTTTTAACAGCTAAATGTGTTAGACACGTAGGGCATCTTGTTGTTAGCATGACATGAATTGTTGTCCTTGTTTTTGCGGAGAAAAACAACTCTTTGACGATGCGTAGCGTCACGTTAATACTTCCTAACTAGCTTGTTTATTATTGTGTTCATCACAGAGACAGCACATGATACTGACATTGTGTGAGTTGTACATCCATATTTTACCCGTTGCATAAGTGTTTCTAGCGTGTAACGTAGCTTGTGTAATGGTGTAGTAATAATATTAATACTAAGTTCTTATTTTCGTAATGTTATCTGGCGAATTTTGCCTTCATATTCTCGTCGTAATGCTTCTATAAATATCCGTGATTGATGGAGATTCTTCCCCGCGGAATCTATCACGTTTTAGATATGTTTGATGGTCATATTTTTATGATCATAAACGCGCCGTTATATTGTGTGCTTCCTAGTAATCTCTGCTACAAAAGCTAAACATAACAAAACGATTTATGCATGGCATGATACCAGCAAGATTTTACCAAGAAGTGTTTTTTTTCTTAATAATTTCATCGCACTATTTTATGTATAAAATAATAGCCTAAAAATATGCGGGTGTATTTTCGGAGGGCTGGATGCTGTCAAGATGCTGTTGGTAATACATTATAGCTAAATATGATAAGACTGTACAGTATTTTAATATGAATAAATACTACTACAATTAGCGACTCCAGGGCAGCAGTGAATGAATTGTAAGTGAATAAAACCCATTTGAGTGCTGACAGGTTTTATAAATCCAGTGTTTCAATTATTAAATGATTTACGATCATATAGCCAGGGCTAGTGAATAAAGGTTTATTTGTAGAGCACAATTTGCACACAAGGCAATTCAAAGGGATTCACAGTGGAATACAATAACAATAATACAGGTAAATTCAATTAATAAAACATAGTATAATCATTAATTAATTACATTAAAACCAAACAGTGTAGTAAAATACTTTCAGTTGTAATGACATTTATGTAACGTTCTGTTTATGCTTGTGTCCTTTCAGATTATGTATGCATTTCCTGTTTTCCGCAAAACCTCCGAGGGTCGACTCCTCATGGGGCCAACTGAGGAGGCTAATAGGAGTGAGATCGTGGTGGCGGGGAGAGCCAGGTGTAAGGAGGAGGTCCTGGCTGAGGCCACTGCCTTTGTGAGGCAGAATGGAGGGAATCCTGGAGACCAGTCCCTGGTTCTGGCTCACTGCAAGATCCAGTTTGGAAAACACCAGGGCCAGAGGTTCCTGTGGCTGCTGGAGAACTCACTGGGGTATGCTATCTGGTCAGCAGCATCATGGGGGAGGAGGAGAGGGACAACCCGCTGTCGGCCAATAAACACCTGTTCCTCAGATACACCTCGCAGATCAGGGAGGTAGGGGAGGCTGTGGAGGTGTACCAGAAAAAACAGGCCATGCTGCAGGAGGCCCAGAGGACGGGAGACTCTGGTTGTCTGATGGTGGAGTTTGGTGACTTCAAGGGTAGGTCATTTTACAACACACAGGAATGGCACTTCTCAGGTGTCAATCTACATTCACTCTTTGAGTGAACATCTTCAAAGCAAAAAGGGAATTTAAAGGTGTATGTAAAAGGTTTTTATTTCATTTTTTAATCATAGTCACTGACTAAAGCTCATTCTTCTCATCTCACATGTCCCCCACTCCCCTTGGAATAAGTGGCTGTTGTAGTTAGCGGTGCTTACAGTGTTTGGGCTGCTTTGCTTCACCTTTGGCTGATCCCATCTAATTTTTCTTCTTGTATTTCTCCTAATGGTGCTTGGGTGAAAAACGGGATGATTTTCACTGCTTCCTTCCATCGTTTCATCATCATGTTGCCTGTCTACTAATCATACATGCTTTGCACTAAACCTTGTAATCGCAGTAGCTGTCCAGCAGAGCTGAAAAATTAATGCTATGAAAGTCTAAAACAATAAGATGTTAATGTGGTGTCTTTTTACGCTCCAGCCACTGCGGCCTCGAGAGGCCCTGCCCTGGCCCCACCTCGTGTTCCAGGCCCTGCTGCTGCTCCTGCTCCTCCAGCATTGTGGACCCCTGGCCAGGTGTCCCATCCGCCTGCAGAGCTTCCTGGGTACTGGAAGGAGCAACTTCTATCTTTCCAGCAGGACTGGATCAGGAAGACTCTGTTCAGGGCCAACACAAAAACAGGGAAGCCTGAGCTGACGCCACATCCCAACTTCTGGTGGTACCCTCCCCAGCCCCCGACCGTCTTCACCCAGCCCCCTGCCTCTCCTGATATCTTCTTCTGCCGCCCCCTGTTCCTCTGGATGCCGCTGAAGATGTGGTCCATTCCACTTGTCTGTGTCCAGCCAGCCTGCAGTAACCACAAGCTGACAGCTGCTGGCATTTACCGCACTGTGCGCAAGGTCCTGGACATAGACGGGTGGTATGACATGGCCACAGAGTATCTGGAGTGCAAAGGGTGCAAGAAGAAGTATCCAGCCTGGTCTGAAGACATCCTGGGACAGCTCGACATGGGACACCGCAGAACATTCCCCGCCATCCTGACATACAGGTTACACACACACATTCATAATTAAAGCAATGCACTGTAATTTGTTGTACTGTATACAATCAAATACATTGCTTTACTGACATTAACATTGAAATAACAAGACATTGAACAGAATGATTTGACTGTCTGTAGGTACTCGTGTGACTACCGTGTAGTCATTATGATGCGGGAGAGGACCCGGGGCAACAGCGTCACGCAGCTTCACAAAAAGCTGCAGGAGCAGCACACCTCAGCGTGGTCACGGAGGACGCTGAAGTACCTCACTGTCTGTGAGCCCTTCACAGACTCCTCCATCACTGAGCCTCCAGTCTTCTCTGCACCCCCGCCCCTCCCACCCATCCCCAAACCCAAGTGGCTGTTGTCTGTGTATGCCAGGGACGTCCTCTCACGGCTACCGGAGGTCAAGGCCAAAATAACTTCGGTCTTTGGGTCTGTCCTCAAGATGGACTCCACCAAAAAGGTATAAAAAGTAAAGTTTGAGTAATAATAATTGTTATTATCTTCTATTGTTCTTACATTAGATTATTCTACTGTTCTTTTTTTTACATAGGTCACTAAAAAACTGGCCGGTGCTGCTGCCAACACTGCTGGTTGGTGCTCTAATGTGGGCAATGAGCACGGCCAGGTGTTGGTGTCAGTGCTGACAGCGGCAGAGGGGCATGGACTGTGGCCCATGGCGGCGGGGCTCATGAAGAGGTACAGGGAGGCGGGAGTGGCACCGCCCGCCATCATGTACGTGGACAGAGACTGCTGCAGCCCACACGCACACGGACAGTCGCAGGTCAGAGCCATGTTTGCAGAGTGGGATGAGCTCCAAGTGCGCCTGGACATCTGGCACTTCATGCGGCGCTTTGCGGCAGGCGTCATCACAGAGGCTCATCAGCTCTACGGCACCTTCATGACTCGGCTTTCCAGGTGCATCTTTGAGCTGGATCCAGAGGATGTCGCTGCCCTTCGGCTGGCCAAACAGGGGGAGCTACAGGCCAGAGGAGCTGGTCCAGTCTCAGAGAAGGCCCTGGATAAGCTGATCACCAGGAAGGAGTTGTCGCTGCACTGTCGCAAGCGCACCAGAGGAGTGGAGGAGACCACCAGGAGGATCAGGGCGCTCATTGAAGAGATGGACAGTGAGAAGGGGAGGGACACTCTGGGCGTACCACTGCTGGACCACGAGCGCATCCAACAGGTCTGGATAGACCAGCAGAGGCACATTGCCTGTATTGAGGATCCAGAGGGCTTCCCTCTGTACCAGAAGACAGGCACACTGAAGAAGGGTGGTGTGGAGCTCAGATGCTACCGGTGCGCTCGTGGCTCCACCTCTTTGGAGTCTTTTCACCTCCACTTGAACCGCTTCATCCCAGGTAGGTTATAACTTTAAGGCAGACTACAGTTTTAAAAAATGTTTGTTCTGAATACATCTATTACATATATTTGACTTTACCTCTAGGGACCAGTGCCAGTGATGCGCATTTCCAGGCCTATCTCCTGGAAGGCCTGATGCGCTGGAACCAGGACCGTATGGATGAAGCGGTGGGGGGAAAGACTGACCTGAGGACCTACAGCAGCGCTGAGAGGGAGGCCATGGACCGGCTCAGCCGAAAAGTGCTGAAGACGTCCCTGGATGAGCACTACCAGCCTCCAGGGGCTTACACGGGTGAGAATTATTGTTATATGTTAAAGCTGGGGTACCTGATGCTTTATTTTGCGTTTATGCTTATTATTTACTTGTTTATTATTTTGGCTAATTTAGAAGGTTGTTTACGTTATTGTTTATTGGTCACTGGTAGGGTCTAATTGACATAAGAAGGTTATAATAATGTGATTGTGCTTTGTATGTGTTCTATGGCAGGAGAGCTGCTCGGGATGGAGTATCTGTACAGTCAGTCTGGGAAATCCCTGTCTGTTATGGATAACCCGGAGGAGGAGGATCGGCTGGTGGAGCAGATGGACGATGAGGTGGTACAGGACGAAGGCTTCGTTGAGGAGGAACCAGAGGACCTCACAGTGCCAGTCCTCTATGACGCCATTGAGACTGTCCCAGTCCACAGCAGTGGCTCCCAGGCCTTCAACCCCTGTCCCTCCGCACCGGGACCATCCTCACTGCAGCCACCCACATCCAGTCAAGGACAGCTGCGCCCTACCCATCCTCCTCAGCAGTCTCCCCAGCTGCGCCCTGCCCAGCCTCCTCTGCACCAGTCGTTTATTTGAGGCCATGTGCATCAAACTGGTGCACGGCACAAGTCCCCAACTAAAAAGGATGGAGTCCGTCTTCCTCGTTGGACTAAGGTGCTCAACGACTACCACCACATCCGAGACCTGGTGCTGAACTGCCACACTCTGATGGAGGCCACGTCACTTCAGCAGTTTGTGCTGATTCAGAGGACTCTCACTCAGTGGTAAGCACAGTAGCATAATGTTTTACATTGACATTTGAAAGAAAAGGATAGCAGTTATTCATAATATTTTTTTTTTTTTTATTGCAGGTTTAATCGAAGAGAGAACACCCAGGAAGTCACTGTCCTCTCCCAGGGCCTTGCTGCAGAGGACTGCCTCGCTGTGGCCAGCTCACAGCTTCCTGCTCCACGGGAAAGCCTGGATGAGGCTTCCTCCACATCAAGGGCCCGGCACGAATTTGTCCTGCCTCCAAACCGAGCGGGACAAACGACCTGCCAGTGCTACAGTTGTGCGGCCCATCACCCCAGCAGCTCCTCTTCCTTTAGTTCCTGCGCCACTGCCCCAGATTTTTGTTTTGAACCCTGTGCCCACGCTGATTTCCAAAGGTGCAGGTGGCCCTTCAGCTGCTCGTCTCCTGGCTCCAACTCCTGTGTTTCCTGCCGCGCCCGAGGCTCCTGCTCCCACTGCCCCAGTGTCTGTGCCCCGCTTCACGCAGAGAAACAGACGACGCAGGGCAGAAAAGGAGGCCAGTGGAACTCACAAAAGACGATATGTCCGTGAAGTGGCATTTAACAAATGCTCCAAGTGTGGCCAGCCCAAAACAAAGGAGTTCGGCCACAGCCGGTTTGGCAGTGCCACCTTTTGCCCCAGTGTCTCTGGTGGCAAATCAAGAGAGGAGTGGCTGGTAGAACAACGCCAGCAGAAAACACATGGACAGCCACCTCCATAATAATATAATCTTGTAAATACTATACTGTAAATACTAGTAAATATTGTTTGTAAATACTTGTAAATATTGTTTGTAAATACTTGTAAATACGTATCTATGTGTAGATAGTAATTTATTTATATTTTTCCATCTTTGTGTTATGTCTTAGAATAGCACATTCTGTAATATAAATGAAACTATTTCTACGTTGTTAGTTGTTTATTGTTGTCTATTAATGTCTTATACTTATTAGTTGTAGTAAATAAATACGGTTTGTTCACACTTCTATTCATTGTGCCGCTTTAAATTGCCTTGGGACTGGAATGTGCAATGTTTACTTAACTGAGGTCAGGGGCAGTGTAAATCACAGCAGCTTGTCTTTGAACACAAGTGTCCGGGGGGTCCGTGGGGGGTCAGGGCAGGTGCACATCACACGAACTTCAGTGACCCCCCTGAATGCAGCTTCTCCGTGTCTGGTTCTGAGTCTGGACTCGGATCCAGATGACATGAGGGGTTCTGGTTGGTTCATAAGTTATGAACAAGGCACTCAAACAACACTTTTGCACATGTTCGTTAAGATTGTCACTGTTTGCTGTGCCTTATCTAAAGGCATTAGGTTTTCACCCTCACATTTGAGAAGCATATGCACAGGTACAGTTGAATGTAAGAATTTGAATTTGTTGCGCACAACACCAATCACCCTCTCAACGTGAATTCTGAGATATGCAATGGCCCTAGTCTCCTCCACATCTTTCGCCTCCAGCTGTGCACGACCCCTTGTGAATGTAGGTATTTTCACTTCAGCACACATCATGCCTACACTTCCTCTTATATTAAAGCCCCTATCTGCCAGCACAATGTCACCTGGTAAAAGTTTGTTCAGGAAACCACTTTGCTCAGTTATATGCTTGTCACTTGTGCGCCCACCCCACCGTGATCACAAGGTATTTCATGGTGTATTTGTATTGAGAGAAAGTCTGTGCCCTTGCTAGTACATTTGAGGGTTTCTCGATGAACACCTCGAAGCAGTCCACAATGGCAGCCACACTATTCCCAAATGACTCCACAAACTGATGTGGCATACTGGTCAATATGCATTCCCTGCTTGGCCAGTGCACTAATGGACACAGCTGTGTGTACATCACACCAAGGGTATGGTGAAAGGCATCAGCGACTGTTGTCCGATGTACTCTAGACAGATGGCTGAGGTGCTGGATTGGAAGGGTGAGAGCTTCCTCATCCTTCCTTGAGGCAGCTGCTGGGCCGGCGATGGGGGCTGCTGGGCCTGGGCTGGCGATGGGGGCTGCTGGGCCTGGGCTGGCGATGGGGGCTGCTGGGCCTGGGCTGGCGATGGGAGCTGCTGGGCCTGGGCTGGCGATGGGGGCTGCTGGGCCTGGGCTGGCGATGGGGGCTGCTGGGCCTGGGCTGGCGATGGGGGCTGCTGGGCCTGGGCTGGCGATGGGGGCTGCTGGGCCTGGGCTGGCGATGGAGGCTGCTGGGCTTGGGCTGGCGATGGAGGCTGCTGGGCTTGGGCTGGTGATGGAGGCTGCTGGGCTTGGGCCGGCGATGGAGGCTGCTGGGCCTGGGCTGGCGATGGGGGCTGCTGGGCCTGGGCTGGCGATGGGGGCTGCTGGGCTTGGGCTGGCGATGGAGGCTGCTGGGCTTGGGCTGGCGATGGAGGCTGCTGGGCTTGGGCTGGCGATGGAGGCTGCTGGGCCTGGGCTGGCGATGGGGGCTGCTGGGCCTGGGCTGGCGATGGGGGCTGCTGGGCTTGGGCTGGCGATGGGGGCTGCTGGGCTTGGGCTGGCGATGGAGGCTGCTGGGCTTGGGCTGGGAGTGATGACTGCTCCAGATGCTGGGTCCTGCGCTTTACTTGCCGCTGATATCGCGCTCCATCTGTTTCTTTAACATTATTGTGGCCTAAACGCAATGATGGTGTCCAGTCAGGGTGATTCTCCAACATCTCATATGATGGTTTACCTAGAACAGAATAATCTATGTAGTCAATGCTTTAAACTGGCAACAAGGTAGCATAATGTCATGAACAGAATCTCAACTATTTTTAGCAATCTCATATAATGGTTTACTTACATCAGATTAATAAAATTATGAAACAATCTGGAATCTAAATAAATATTAAACAAGAAGGTAACGCTATTCATGGTTTCATAAAAGGGCTCAGGGGGTAGTGGCAACACAAGACAAAAAAAAAGTTTGGGCACAACATGGTTTAGAGAACATAAGAGACAGAGACAAACGCACTTTGAGTGCCCATATTCCACCAACAAGGTAGGATAATGAGCAGAAACTTAAATATTCGTAGTTAACATTAATGGTTGGCCATTAAGCATTTTCATAGAGGCAACAGTTTGTTAGATAGTTAGCTAGGCAGCTAACTTAAGATGCACTTCAGTGTTTGCAACATTAACAGCTAGGTAACCTACACTTCTTAACTTTAAAAAAACAACATAAAGACATTTTAGGACGTACCCGAGTGAAAATGCAGAGAACACACTCTCATCGACTGGGGGGTGAGATCGAAAGTAAGGTCCTTTCTTCTTATTGCAGCCAACCAAGCCATCCGGCGTCTCTTCGTCAGGTCAGACACTTGCGCTCCCTGATGTTGTATCCATTTTGGTGGCCTAAAAAATTGTAAACCGTTGTTCCTACGTTTTCCTTTCTTATTGTGTGAGGTACTGGAGCAGTTTTTCACACAGCAATGAGCTCCAGACATGGTAAAACAGAAATAGCGATGACCTCCTTTGCTACCGAGTTAACAACAACAAGTGTTTGCAGCTGGGTTCCTACCAACATGGCGGAGACGGGGAGGGGCTCTGTGCTATGACGACAACTCCTCACTCTCAATACTGTGAGATCGAGGCCCCTGCTTCATGCGAAGCAGGGGCCCAATCATCTCGCCCCCCGCACACGCGAAAGCGGCGCAAATGGCGCGGAAGGGGGAGAGTTTTCACTGAATGATGAAAGGAGGACCCTCAAAGAACATTTTTGCATGTCGTGGTTCTGAGATTAAAAACACTGTAAATATCAGTGGCAGTCCAGGGCTGGCCTCGATCTCACAGCCCTGGGGTTAAAGCAGACACGTGCCTCATCCTTCCGCAACATTGTATCCGTTATATAGTCCCGCAGGAGAGCAGATTCTTTCATCCATCTTATTAGTTATGTTAGATATGTTTAGTTCTTGGATTGTTTACACTATTACATTGTTTTGGTAATTTCCTGTGCCCAGACCTTTATTTATATATGAATTAATAACTGGATATTAATATTATAAATAAATAATATAGCTTTTATGTCAATATATATTCTACATATGTTCCAGGCATTGTGAAGTAACTGCACACACTGCAAACAGTGTATAATGCTCATTTTTAAGTGATTTATTTGTACTGTTTGGTCACATAAAAGTATAAATATATCATTTTTGCAACAAAACTATGTAGGCTATTACTGTTTATGCTTAACATGTAATTAATGTACAAAAGATGTAACTGCATTTGAGACTGAACTTGGTAGCAATCAGGAGCAATCAGTGACCCCTGAACAAAGGGGTCACTGAAGTTCGTGTGATGTGCACCTGCCCTGACCCCCCACGGACCCCCCGGACACTTGTGTTCAAAGACAAGCTGCTGTGATTTACACTGCCCCTGACCTCAGTTAAGTAAACATTGCACATTCCAGTCCCAAGGCAATTTAAAGCAGCACAATGAATAGAAGTGTGAACAAACCGTATTTATTTACTACAACTAAGTATAAGACATTAATAGACAACAATAAACAACTAACAATGTAGAAATAGAATAGCACATTCTGTAATATAAATGAAACTAAGACATAACACAAAGATGGAAAAATATAAATAAATTACTATCTACATGTAACCCATGTCACATGACCACTTCCGGTTTTAATTTGGAACATCTTCCCTTAAGTACCGCAACAACATATCCAGTTTGACAGATGCTCCTCCAGCGTTGTCTACACTGCCGGCTTCTTGCTGAAACAACCCTTTTGGATTCTGGATTAAATCATGCAACCATCACCCTGATTCTTGCACCTAATCTTCCACTCAACGGTGAGTCAAGACACCCCTGCGTTTAAAAGTCACCGTTGTTTCTCTGGAACCACGAACTGAACCCTAGTTGAATGCTAATGCTAGCAATAGCATATAAACAAGACGGGAAGCCGTCCTACAAGCGGCTATTTAAGTTTATACGCCGTTCTCCTTTTGTTAAGCCTCCAGCCGAACTCCCTGCCCTGTGCACTACTACCAAAGTAATGCGCTAGTTCATGTTTAATCGGCTGTTTGAAAGACTTTAGTTACTTTTGCACTAGTAGCCCATACGGCAATAGCTAATTTGAATCCCTGAACACTACCCTGTTGCGCAACAATCCCTATTGAACCCTGTATATTTTGATTAATGTCATAAAGAGCTCTGTGACGGATTGATTTATACTTTGAAGTGCACTTTACCTTGAATAATTGAGACTATTGAATTTATGTGTTTTTGCACTGTGAATATTGACATGTTTATGTTCTTATCATTATGACCTAATGGTAGTATGATGAGATATGACCTAATGTTTATTTATCTCATATATTAGCAGCAATAGTCTATTTCTGTGCTAATATTATTTTAATTTAATTCTAAAGCTAATTAATGGGTTTTTCCTGACCCTGTTTCAGGTCAAGTTTTTTTTCCCCCACCTCCACTGACTGAACTGCACTGCTTTACTGAATGTAACCACTGGATGGTGAGCTAACGACCCCGAACCTGTCAACCACCGCATCATCGTGGTAGGAACAATTGTTTCAACTTGATTCACCACTCTGGAACTCTATAAACTTGGATTACAATACGCATTCCACACGGATTACAAATACATTGGAACAATAACACTTACCTGAACTGAACTTACTTTGACTGAACTTACCTTGACAGAACTGTGAACAATATAATTTATTTACTTTACTCTCTTTGAAAGGGACACTTTGGTTTGAATTTTGCTTTGGTTGGTACATGTGTGCGTGTGTCTGCTGACTATATTTTCATTATTATTATTATTATTATACAACCTTTTGATCACATATAACTATATATATATATATATATATATATATATATATATTATTTTCCCCAGAAAAGCTATTAACTGTATGTGTTTTATTCACACTCCTGGGCTCCTTATCGTTCCTTCTTCTGATGCTTACCCTACATGCGGTCAGACCCTTAGCCCCGTAGTGCGTTACATACACATAGATACGTATTTACAAACAATATTTACAAGTATTTACAAACAATATTTACTAGTATTTACAGTATAGTATTTACAAGATTATATTATTATGGAGGTGGCTGTCCATGTGTTTTCTGCTGGCGTTGTTCTACCAGCCACTCCTCTCTTGATTTGCCACCAGAGACACTGGGGCAAAAGGTGGCACTGCCAAACCGGCTGTGGCCGAACTCCTTCGTTTTGGGCTGGCCACACTTGGAGCATTTGTTAAATGCCACTTCACGGACATATCGTCTTTTGTGAGTTCCACTGGCCTCCTCTTCTGCCCTGCGTCGTCTGTTTCTCTGCGTGAAGCGGGACACAGACACTGGGGCAGTGGGAGCAGGAGCCTCGGGCGCGGCAGGAAACACAGGAGTTGGAGCCAGGAGACGAGCAGCTGAAGGGCCACCTGCACCTTTGGAAATCAGCGTGGGCACAGGGTTCAAAACAAAAATCTGGGGCAGTGGCGCAGGAACTAAAGGAAGAGGAGCTGCTGGGGTGATGGGCCGCACAACTGTAGCACTGGCAGGTCGTTTGTCCCGCTCGGTTTGGAGGCAGGACAAATTCGTGCCGGGCCCCTGATGTGGAGGAAGCCTCATCCAGGCTTTCCCGCGGAGCAGGAAACTGTGAGCTGGCCACAGCGAGGCAGTCCTCTGCAGCAAGGCCCTGGGAGAGGACAGTGACTTCCTGGGTGTTCTCTCTTCGATTAAACCTGCAATAAAAAAAAAAAAAATTATTATGAATAACTGCTATCCTTTTCTTTCAAATGTCAATGTAAAACATTATGCTACTGTGCTTACCACTGAGCGAGAGTCCTCTGAATCAGCACAAACTGCTGAAGTGACGTGGCCTCCATCAGAGTGTGGCAGTTCAGCACCAGGTCTCGGATGTGGTGGTAGTCGTTGAGCACCTTAGTCCAACGAGGAAGACTGACTCCATCCTTTTTAGTTGGGGACTTGTGCCGTGCACACAGTTTGATGCACATGGCCTCAAATAAACGACTGGTGCAGAGGAGGCTGGGCAGGGCGCAGCTGGGGAGACTGCTGAGGAGGATGGGTAGGGCGCAGCTGTCCTTGACTGGATGTGGGTGGCTGCAGTGAGGATGGTCCCGGTGCGGAGGGACAGGGGTTGAAGGCCTGGGAGCCACTGCTGTGGACTGGGACAGTCTCAATGGCGTCATAGAGGACTGGCACTGTGAGGTCCTCTGGTTCCTCCTCAACGAAGCCTTCGTCCTGTACCACCTCATCGTCCATCTGCTCCACCAGCCGATCCTCCTCCTCCGGGTTATCCATAACAGACAGGGATTTCCCAGACTGACTGTACAGATACTCCATCCCGAGCAGCTCTCCTGCCATAGAACACATGCAAAGCACAATCACATTATTATAACCTTCTTATGTCAATTAGACCCTACCAGTGACCAATAAACTAACGTAAACAACCTTCTAAATTAGCCAAAATAATAAACAAGTAAATAATAAGCATAAACGCAAAATAAAGCATCAAGTACCCCAGCTTTAACATATAACAATAATTCTCACCCGTGTAAGCCCCTGGAGGCTGGTAGTGCTCATCCAGGGACGTCTTCAGCACTTTTCGGCTGAGCCGGTCCATGGCCTCCCTCTCAGCGCTGCTGTAGGTCTGTGAATAAACTAGTCACATTTCAACAACATAATCTCTTGAATACATGTTGTCAGCCGCTGGTTCAAAACTACAGGTTATCTGGACATCAGCACAAACAGACAAGTTTTACAGACTACAATCTAGTCCGGGTCTCTGCTGGATGGAAAACAGCAGAAGAGTGACAAAGAAATGGACCAAGAATTCTGTTCTTATACCCTGATAATTTGAAACACATGCCCCAACATCCTTAGGTGAAGACAATACCTTCTCTGTTTCAGGACAAACAAATAGCCCCTGTGTGAATAAGCCTGAGGCTACTCTAAACAGATGTTTTCTGCGCTCTTCTTAATTTAACTTCCTGTGCTTAATGGCTGGGGGGGATGGGAGAATACTGCTGATGCGTCCATCACATCCCATCACACAGTAGCTATCTAAACCTTGAATATATTCTAATTCACTTTAATGAAAATCCAACAACTCTACTAACATTCCCTCCTTTTTTTCATTAAAAGAATTAATCACATTCAATGTTTAGTAAACCAACTTAAAGATGGAACACAATGAAATTAATACAAACACAGTATTACATTTGAATCCAAGTTGCGTCGACTCAACTTAGAGACCCCTCTTCACATGTGTCTTATAAAAATCACATTGGTTACAGAAACACACACAGAAAAGAACTCAAAAAAAAGTTTTTTAGAGATCATTTCATATTCATATGTAATTGCTCCCCTATAAACCATATCTCCCCCCTGTTTGAGACATTAAAAATGGCTCAATAACTAAACATAATTCCTAATTATTCATGTGTATGAAATGAAAAAGACACAAATACCCAATTTACTCATGTAAATTTATGTAGCATCAACATGTATAAACTAAACGTTCATTTGAAATGTATTAACTTGAAATGTTTTCACCTGAAATGTATTAACTTGAAATGTGTCAACAAATTACACCCCACACCAAAAAGCCTATTGTCCAGTAACGCCTGTTGTAGAAACGCCTCCACACCCCAATGTCTTCTGCAGCCAGCAACGTCCAGCCCCATCCTGCACAGCCCCATCATGTCCAGAAGCCTCTGTCCTGTTCACACACTTTAGAACCGACAGCAAAAACTGGAAACCTCCAGTCCTCAGATCTTTGCACAAAGGTGATGTCTTCGGTCAACCCAGTCTTTCAGATGTTTTGGAAATCTGCAAAATGTCCCAAAAACACACAGAGTCAAGTTGTTGATTTGAGTCTGTCCTCTGGATGACCCTTTGCATCATTGCTTCTGTCGTTGCAGCATTTAGCCTTGGTTTGGCCTGCTGGTTTGGCTTAGTTTGGCTTGGTTTGGCCTGCTGATTTGCTGGTTGATGATTGGTGGGAGTGGGAGTGGGCGTCTCCTTCACAGGAATGAACTCTGAGCTTTTTAGCATCAAAAGTGGTGTTTTAGGTGTTTCCCTCAAACAAAACACACAAAGTACACATTTGTTAATACATTTCAAACTTAGTTCAGTAAACCCAAAGGAAAACCTCAGCAGTTGATGAAAACTGTTGCTGAAGACAGTCCTATTACTGTAATTTTCTTGTGTCAGAAATGAAAACATCACAATTAACTATTGAAATAATGTATAACTAGTTATATTCAGAATCAAACAGATTTACATTTCTTTGATGTAAACATTAAACATGCTACAGTAACTTCCCTTACTGTTTAATTTAAACCCTTCAAATGAACCTAAACATGATTATTATTCAAATTTGAAAAATTAAACTGCTTATTTTCAGAGTGTTTCCCACTTATCTGATTGTTTGAGTCAGCATCAGTCAGAGAGGACTTCTTAGGCGTCTGATTCGTCGTTCCCATCCACAGCACCCCTGCCGATGCTTCTCCCCCTCCTCCTGCTCTTAGACCTGTCTCTCTGGTTGGAGTGAGGTGAAGCATGTGACCGATGCTGTGCCGGGAACAACCAAACACTGTCCCCAGACGTCCCTCTCCCAGCTGAGACAGAAACAAACTCAGAAACAGAACAAAATATTAGTTGACAATTCTGTTGATTTTACCCTAATATTGTTTCATATTATTTGTGAAATAATATTTTAGTCCTGATGTTTATTCCTATCTTATAGTCCGTTAGTTCAGTCAGTTAAGTCCTAGACACAGAAGACAAACACTTACATGCAAAACCTGAAGTAACAAACAAATACTACTCACATAAGAGGAAAAGTTAGTCTGTTAAATCTTACACATAAAGACATTTACTCACAAAACAAACAAAAACTCCAAATCAAACCCAAAAATAAACATAAAAGTCTACTTGTGTGCACAAAATACCATCTTTTGTGATCATAAGCAAACAAAAATCAAAAATCTGAGCTAACTTTGAGTCTTATCTATCATCAATCTAATTCAGTCTCAGCCTAATCCTTTTGAGCTTGTACCAAATGTAGTAACTTTAAAATTGTCCAATCACAAAAATTTCACAGCTCAAGTCAATTCAAATCTATCTATGATTCTCTAATCTCATTACCAAATGTTTTCACCAGTAAAATGTTTATCACTGGTTCCACCCCTTTTTAATTATTTTTGTCAATATAGCAAGCATTAACGAAAGTAGTTAAACTATCACAAACTACTCCACTTAACTATTCTTTGTCACAGTTGAGCAGATGGGAGGGACAGAATTGGGAGCAAGGGAGAAGGGGGATGAGGGGAAGGGGGAAAGGCAGAAGGGGACACAAAGGATGCACCTCAAACGTGCACGCACACACACACTCACACTTTAGGCCTTATATCCAAATTTCAATTTCCAATTTAAATTATTATTTAGAAAAATTGTTGTCTTATTATGCAGGCTACCACAAAGTTCTACCAAAAAGTCACTAATCAGCTGAAGAAAAAATCACCACTCTCAAAATGTTCCATTTTCCCTCAAATGGCCAGATCTGGTTTTCCAACTACACGTATGCGTCCATAGTGCTGAATTTGTAATAGCTCCTCGACTATTAGAAGGATAAGCCTCGTTATCCTAGGCCTAAGAAATAGCCATCGACTATTAAAAGGATAAGCCTCGTTATCCGCGGCCTCTTTTTTGAGTCCCCGACTTCAAAAGTCCCAGTGGATAGAAGTTTAAATTCTCCACTTTCTTAGAAGTGCGTGATATCTCACTGCCCCAATGCTTTTTTGAGGAGATAAAATGGATTTCCTGCCTTCAAAGACGATTTAAATTTAGTTTCTTTTTTTTTTTTTTAGGAAAAATTTGTTTTACCTTGTCCATGTGGATGTCCAGAAACTCCGGAGACTGGCCATGCCTCAAAGATGGAGTCCTCAAAGCAGTTCTGAATGAAGAAGGTCTCACCGCTGCTCCAACTCCATGTTTGAGGCATCCTCAGCTCCGCAGAAAAGCATGTTGGCATCCGGCGCAAGAAGGACCAAAATAATGTGAATAAACTAGTCACATTTCAACAACATAATCTCTTGAATACATGTTGTCAGCCGCTGGTTCAAAACTACAGGTTATCTGGACATCAGCACAAACAGACAAGTTTTACAGACTACAATCTAGTCCGGGTCTCTGCTGGATGGAAAACAGCAGAAGAGTGACAAAGAAATGGACCAAGAATTCTGTTCTTATACCCTGATAATTTGAAACACATGCCCCAACATCCTTAGGTGAAGACAATACCTTCTCTGTTTCAGGACAAACAAATAGCCCCTGTGTGAATAAGCCTGAGGCTACTCTAAACAGATGTTTTCTGCGCTCTTCTTAATTTAACTTCCTGTGCTTAATGGCTGGGGGGGATGGGAGAATACTGCTGATGCGTCCATCACATCCCATCACACAGTAGCTATCTAAACCTTGAATATATTCTAATTCACTTTAATGAAAATCCAACAACTCTACTAACAAGGTCCTCAGGTCAGTCTTTCCCCTCACCGCTTCATCCATATGGTCCTGGTTCCAGCGCATCAGGCCTTCCAGGAAATAGGCCTGGAAATGCGCATCACTGGCACTGGTCCCTAGAGGTAAAGTCAAATATATGTAATAGATGTATTCAGAACAAACATTTTTTAAACCTGTAGTCTGCCTTAAAGTTATAACCTACCTGGGATGAAGCGGTTCAAGTGGAGGTGAAAAGACTCCAAAGAGGTGGAGCCACGAGCGCACCGGTAGCAGCTGAGCTCCACACCACCCTTCTTCAGTGTGCCTGTCTTCTGGTACAGAGGGAAGCCCTCTGGATCCTCAATACAGGCAATGTGCCTCTGCTGGTCTATCCAGACCTGTTGGATGCGCTCGTGGTCCAGCAGTGGTACGCCCAGAGTGTCCCTCCCCTTCTCACTGTCCATCTCTTCAATGAGCGCCCTGATCCTCCTGGTGGTCTCCTCCACTCCTCTGGTGCGCTTGCGACAGTGCAGCGACAACTCCTTCCTGGTGATCAGCTTATCCAGGGCCTTCTCTGAGACTGGACCAGCTCCTCTGGCCTGTAGCTCCCCCTGTTTGGCCAGCCGAAGGGCAGCGACATCCTCTGGATCCAGCTCAAAGATGCACCTGGAAAGCCGAGTCATGAAGGTGCCGTAGAGCTGATGAGCCTCTGTGATGACGCCTGCCGCAAAGCGCCGCATGAAGTGCCAGATGTCCAGGCGCACTTGGAGCTCATCCCACTCTGCAAACATGGCTCTGACCTGCGACTGTCCGTGTGCGTGTGGGCTGCAGCAGTCTCTGTCCACGTACATGGCCCCGCCGCCATGGGCCACAGTCCATGCCCCTCTGCCGCTGTCAGCACTGACACCAACACCTGGCCGTGCTCATTTCCCACATTAGAGCACCAACCAGCAGTGTTGGCAGCAGCACCGGCCAGTTTTTTAGTGACCTATGTAAAAAAAAGAACAGTAGAATAATCTAATGTAAGAACAATAGAAGATAATAACAATTATTATTACTCAAACTTTACTTTTTATACCTTTTTTGGTGGAGACCATCTTGAGGACAGACCCAAAGACCGAAGTTATTTTGGCCTTGACCTCCGGTAGCCGTGAGAGGACGTCCCTGGCATACACAGACAACAGCCACTTGGGTTTGGGGATGGGTGGGAGGGGCGGGGGTGCAGAGAAGACTGGAGGCTCAGTGATGGAGGAGTCTGTGAAGGGCTCACAGACAGTGAGGTACTCCAGCGTCCTCCGTGACCACGCTGAGGTGTGCTGCTCCTGCAACTTTTTGTGAAGCTGCGTGACGCTGTTGCCCCGGGTTCTCTCCCGCATCATAATGACTACACGGTAGTCACACGAGTACCTACAGACAGTCAAATCATTCTGTTCAATGTCTTGTTATTTCAATGTTAATGTCAGTAAAGCAATGTATTTGATTGTATACAGTACAACAAATTACAGTGCATTGCTTTAATTATGAATGTGTTCTACCTGTATGTCAGGATGGCGGGGAATGTTCTGCGGTGTCCCATGTCGAGCTGTCCCAGGATGTCTTCAGACCAGGCTGGATACTTCTTCTTGCACCCTTTGCACTCCAGATACTCTGTGGCCATGTCATACCACCCGTCTATGTCCAGGACCTTGCGCACAGTGCGGTAAATACCAGCAGCTGTCAGCTTGTGGTTACTGCAGGCTGGCTGGACACAGACAAGTGGAATGGACCACATCTTCAGCGGCATCCAGAGGAACAGGGGGCGGCAGAAGAAGATATCAGGAGAGGCAGGGGGCTGGGTGAAGACGGTCGGGGGCTGGGGAGGGTACCACCAGAAGTTGGGATGTGGCGTCAGCTCAGGCTTCCCTGTTCTTGTGTTGGCCCTGAACAGAGTCTTCCTGATCCAGTCCTGCTGGAAAGATGGAAGTTGCTCGTTCCAGTGCACAGGAAGCTCTGCAGGCGGATGGGACACCTGGCCAGGGGTCCACAATGCTGGAGGAGCAGGAGCAGCAGCAGGGCCTGGAACACGAGGTGGGGCCAGGGCAGGGCCTCTCGAGGCCGCAGTGGCTGGAGCGTAAAAAGACACCACATTAACATCTTATTGTTTTAGACTTTCATAGCATTAATTTTTCAGCTCTGCTGGACAGCTACTGCGATTACAAGGTTTAGTGCAAAGCATGTATGATTAGTAGACAGGCAACATGATGATGAAACGATGGAAGGAAGCAGTGAAAATCATCCCGTTTTTCACCCAAGCACCATTAGGAGAAATACAAGAAGAAAAATTAGATGGGATCAGCCAAAGGTGAAGCAAAGCAGCCCAAACACTGTAAGCACCGCTAACTACAACAGCCACTTATTCCAAGGGGAGTGGGGGGACATGTGAGATGAGAAGAATGAGCTTTAGTCAGTGACTATGATTAAAAAATGAAATAAAAACCTTTTACATACACCTTTAAATTCCCTTTTTGCTTTGAAGATGTTCACTCAAAGAGTGAATGTAGATTGACACCTGAGAAGTGCCATTCTGCTTTTGAAGGACGATATAATTTGTCTCCCTCGGTAGTAGAAACTGTTATGGCTTGGACTTGTATCTTTATCGCTCGATGTGTCCACTGTTAAAACTACAGAAAACCTTGTGTCGTCCACTCACAGAAAATCAAAGGCTCAGGGATATGGGTATAAGTAGGGCACTTCTATGCAGTCTTATGAAAGATTAAAAAGTCTAAAACAAAAAATTATGAACTGGGCTAACTTTTCCTGTGGATTTTTGTAGGACCACAGGCAGATGTGCGCCTACTGAAGTCCCCATTTAAAGGTGTGGGATGCATTATTTATCCTCCTTTTACATGTATGATTCAAAGATCAAACAGGTCTACGCACGAAAAATAACCCTTTGCGTTCTTGCCTGATGTGAAATATACAAAAACATACATCCATTTAATTCGACACACAGATACCAAATGAAATAAGAGAGTATCTTTAAAAACACATCATTGTTTTCTACTTTTATTGCCCCTCTCTAAACCTGGAGGCATGCATTGCTGCATTGTTTCATTTGTTTATCCCAGACCCTGATTTGACTGTATTTTTCACCTTAATGACAATGCCATAGTTTCAATTTGAGTCCTTGAAGGGACATTCCTCAACCGTCCTGCTGCGGTTCTGCTTATTGTTGGGTTCATCTACATGTTTGTTTTGTCATCATTAAACTTTTCCCTTTTTCATCCAGAAACAGGCTCTGGTTTTCACGTGGCTAAGTTACAAGTTATATCGGTGGAGAGCACTTTTACTTTATTGTTTTATGCTGTAGAATTGATAAATAAATTTAAGAATTGAAGAAGGACTCTTGTGTTCAGAAAAGACCTAAAACAAACTTACTTTAATAATTCTGTGTTAAACAGGTGAGCAAGAGTTCAACCAAGATAACATGTGTCTATTGCAAAAGCAGGTATCGGACTCTTCACAATAAAGTTGAAGGCATGTAGTTGGAACTTGATATCAAAAAAAAAAAAACGGATGACATTTGAATGGAACAAAATCTCCTATGCAAAATTAACAACAAATCCCCTTGCATTCAAGGTGACAAGAGTCTGCCAGACAATAAAAAAACATTCATCTTCAGCGTTATCTCCAATATTATTTTTCACATGAATACATTTTGAATAACAAATCTCCTGCCACACGCCGCCGTCTTTCCCAGCCTCTCGTTGGAGTGTGGTTCTGTCCATGCGACGTTCCCTCCCTCGTTGGTCCCTGTCCTGCTGCGCACACAGAGGTCTGTTTGTTGTGCTGTCCCTGGAGACGTGGGGCTCTGTGCGACACTTATTGGACCTGGCACGGGCCTCTCTGCCAGAAGCCAACCGCCTCCAGCATCTACCACCCGCGAGCCACAACGGCAAAAAGGTTTAACTTTTTCACATGAAAGTCCCTTGCGGCAGTCATTTAGAATAATGCGTCTGCATTTGCTGCTCTTTCATTTCAATAAAAAACGTGGTGCCAAGTGTAGCTAAAGGTCTATGCAGGTGACTTCATGTTTCCAAAAAGGTGCGTGACGTGATTTTAGGCCGTTTTTAGAATGACGGACCACTATGACGATAATTGCTTTTTGCAACAAGTGGATGTCTGAGCACGTTTTCAAACGAAGAAGAGCATGTTGAAAAAATGTAATCTAATTTGTAACATGCTTTAGCACTAAAATTGCGGACATGAATCGTAAATAAAGCTGTGATTCCTACAAGCAGACTTTTGGCAAATGTATATCAACAATCTTGTTTCATTTCAGCATTTGTTTTTCTCAACAAGCTCAACTTTAGTCGCACAAAGTCATTTCTTGCAGCGCAATTAAAACCACCATTTCTCCTGCTTTTGGCGGATAACAAAACCAAAACAAAGACTCACTTGCGGGAGAGTGCAATTCTCCTGTATATCCCTAACTTCAATCGTACTTTAGATATCAAATTTATTTTACATAGATTTTCTCCAGTAAGTAGATATACTATTTATTGTTAGGTTATTTAAAGCCTGCCTATGTCACTCAGGGTTTTCTTTGAATTGAACGGTTTCTGTTTCAAGAAAGCCTCACCTTTTGACATTTTGACGTGTAGAGTCTTTAATGAAGCAGGTGTGACAAGGCAGGGTGGCTGGTGGTGACGTGGGTAGCACCATTGCCTCTCAACTACAGGGTTTTGAGTACGAATCCCGGGTCGGAACATAAGTAGAAATGTTATCTTTATTGCATCCCTGAGTTTATTTGGTATATCAAGTAAAATGATGTATCGAGGAATTCTAGTGAATTAATACGCAATTTATTTCCATGGTTTTTTCAAGTAATTTTACTTGTCAGGGTTTCAGTGTGCAATGAACAATGACAACATATAAATACAAACATATAAATACAAAATGGCCTTTTTTTACAACTGGTCATGTTTCCTCTGCTTGCATGTGTGTCTCTATTAAGAGTCTAAAATTAAAAAAATTAAAAATAAAAATACTATTTATTTATTGATGTATTTTCCATTTGATCTTAGATGCATACTGTTGGGTGTTTCTCAATAGGTCCAGAGTTTATGCGGGTAATGCAGGCAAAATGGCTGTAGAGAAGGTTTATCTATTGGGAGATACAGGTGTGCTGAGGGGATGGAAGTTGAGACTGCAGTACACAGTTTTGAATGTTTTTTCATGTTCCAGTATCACAAGTGTTTCATCACAAACCTGATGCAGGAGTGTGTATCACAAGGTTGCACAAATAAAGTGACAATGTTATCTACAAATCAAAATTACTGTCATAGGGGCTGCCACAAGCCTACTCAAAAAAACTATAGTTGGATATGTCCTCCATTATGGTTTTTGGGAAAAAAAGTGCATAGGAATCATTTCAAGCTTTCACAATTGTAAAATTAAAGGATCAACATGGCTGGCCCAAAAGTGGTACTGGCACTCTAAATAGTTACTCTTATAATCAACAACAAATCTATAACCAACAGAATAGAAAGAAATCCTGTTTTTATTCCTTGTTTTGAGAATTGAGAATCATAACGAGACCTTTTTTGGTTCTGCTGGCCACATGGCATCCGGATCATGACCCTCGATTGGCTAAAAAAGTCGGAGGGCCGGACATCAAAATGAAACCAATAACAGATTAAGGGGCTGAATTGATACTTTTGAATCCAAATATTCGGTTGAACTAATGTTATCATTTAATGAAGTATTCGAAAGAGCCAGATTTATTAATCCTTTTTTTTGACACAATAGGCCATTTATATGATCACACTTGATATGAAATATAAATTTGCTATTTAAGGACTCGATGTGCTAGACTGCAAATCAAAGAAAATTTTTTGTTTTTTTTGTATGAGCAAATCCAAAAACTAACAGGGCGGCATCGCTGGGAAACAGGGGAATAAACAAAACGAACTGACAACTGGAGGAAAGAGCATGGTTATTTGAACTGAGCCACACAGGTGAAAACACACTCACCAGGGCAGACAGTCAACAGACCAAACAGGAAGTAAACTCCACAATGAAAATGAGATCTCAAAACTCAAACTACCAAAATATCTAAGTATCCATCCAGCCAACAATCAAGCCCAGCCCAGAGTTAGATACGTATGCCTTTCAAAGAATTGAATGTAAAAGCTCATCAAACATTAATTATCAAATGTCAATACATAGAATTTTCCTTGCACATCATTAATTTACAATTACTTACATATTTCACATTCTTGATTACTGAATTGAGTTTTGCATCAGTATGTAGTGGGCGCTCGCCTGTACCCATTTGCAGACGTCTGTCTGTCTTGCTTCACGCTCTTAATGTTTCAGTAAACTTCACTCACTCTCTGTATTCTCTTTGATATTTTGCAGAGCTCTTGTACAATTCATCCACCATTCACATGTCTTAATCTGACATTTCAATTCTTCGCCCAGGTTTCCGTTTGATACAAGCCCTTTTTTATTTTCCTGCGTTTGAATTGTGCTCAAACATTTAAATCATTCCCTTGTGCTTCACGGTGTCGTTCCCCCAAATCTCACAATGAGCTGATTTTTGTTTAAGTTTACTGCCATTTGCTGCCTACTACTCTGCTACTACAAACACAGCTGCTCTTAATATTGCTTTTCTCTTGCGTTGAGTGTCAGCTATTTCGCATTTTTTGCACTTAAACACCATAAATTAGGAGTACACAGTTTACATACTCAGCTGTTTGGTCGTGCATACTGCGATCCATGTCCGACGTAATCGTGCCCGCTACAAACTGCCTAAAAAACCCCCAGGGGGTTGGGAAAAGCACTATGTATTAGCTAACCGGGGATTAATGACTTCCACGTGTAAGAATTTTATGAGGGGAGCCGTACATGGGCAGCATGTTCGCTCCAATTATTCTGAGTATTGCGCCAACGGATGGCTGTATCGACCGTCGGCATGCAAACCCTCCATGCAACGTGTTAGTGACCCTCCGAGTTTCAGTGACACTGTGTTCACCTGCCACGTACCGGTGAAAACTAAAGAGGGCGCGCGTATATAATTATTTACAATGGAGAGAGGGGACGTGCTCTGTGTTTAGCTGGTGCCAGAGGACAGCCCCTCGAGATGGTATCGATCCAGCTGGAAAGACCACTGTTTTTGCATTAGCGTTTCTTCCCTACAAGTTTTTTGTCCGTTTTGGGAAGCTGGTCCGAAACAACAGACAGGGAGGCCCACAATTCGACCACACAGAGTTACAAGAGCTGTGTAAAACTCTGGCAAGGTAAATAAAAAACTCTTTCGCCTCGTAATTGATTGTGTCCACATTCACATTTTGGGCTTAACAATTCTGTGTTTATATTTGAGGATATTGTCTGTTGTATTCAGCTATTGAGCCCGTATAAAGGATTGACAACCACTGAACAAAAACAGCACAATTCCCATATAAGGTAATTGGACCAAGCACGCTTTTGTTAAAATTCTAGCTGTCTTCACCGTTTGGCTATGGTGATACTTATGGTGATGTCAGCACGTGGATAGTCCTCCTAATATCCTAATATTTCATTATAGCGCTTGTTTGTGATTTAATAATATAAAAATAATATATATTTTTGTCCACTCACCTTTGGCCCTCCGCGGGCGGTTATCCCTCTCTAAGCTCGGGTCCTCTACCAGAGGCCAGGGAGCTTGAGGGTTCTGCGCAGTATCTTTGCTGTTCCTAGCACTGCACATTTCTGGACCGAGATGTCCGAGGTTGTTCCAGGGATCCGCTGTAACCACTCATCTAGCTTCGGGGTCACTGCCCCGAGTGCACCGATCACCACGGGCACTACTGTCACCTTTACCCTCCAGGCCCTCTCCAGCTCCTCTCTGAGACCTTGGTATTTCTCAAGCTTTTCATGTTCTTTTTTCCGGATGTTACCATCGCTTGGAATTGCCACGTCCACCACCACGGCTGTCCTCTGCCCTTTGTCTACCACCACGATGTCAGGTTGGTTTGCCATTACCATTCGGTCGGTCTGTATCTGGAAGTCCCACAGGATCTTCGCACGCTCATTCTCCACCACCTTTGGAGGAGTTTCCCACTTAGACCTTGGGGTTTCCAGCCCATACTCTCCACAGATGTTTCTGTACACTATGCCAGCCACTTGGTTATGGCGTTCCATGTAGGCCTTCCCTGCCAGCATCTTGCACCCTGCAGTTATGTGTTGGATCGTCTCAGGTGCCTCTTTGCACAACCGACACCTTGGGTCTTGTCTGGTGTGGTATATCTGGGCCTCTATCGCTCTGGTGCTCAGGGCCTGTTCCTGTGCAGCCATGATGAGTGCCTCTGTGCTGTCCTGTAGGCCAGCCCTTTCTAGCCATTGGTAGGACTTCTTGAGATCAGCCACTTCTGTTATGCTCCGGTGGTACATGCCGTGTAGGGGCTTGTTCTCCCATGATGGGCTCTCCTCCAGCACCTCCTCATCTCGCCACTGCCTGAGACATTCACTGAGTACGTCATCCGTTTTGGCCTTCTCCATGATGTAGTTATGGAGTTTGGATGTTTCGTCCTGGACAGTGGCTCTCACACTCACTAGTCCTCGGCCTCCTTCTTTACGGCTTACGTACAGTCTCAGGGTGCTGGATTTGGGATGGAACCCGCCATGCATGGTAAGGAGCTTTCGAGTTTTAACATCCGTGGTCTGAATCTCTTCCTTTGGCCACCTGATTATTCCTGCAGGGTATCTGATCACTGGCAGGGCGTAGCTGTTAATTGCCCGGGCCTTGTTCTTGCCATTGAGCCGGCTTCTTAGGACCTGCCTTACTCGCTGGAGGTATTTGGCAGTTGCCGCTTTCCTCGTCACCTGTTCGAGGTTGCCATTTGCCTGTGGTATACCGAGATACTTGTAACTGTCCTCAACGTCTGCTATTGTTCCCTCTGGGAGTGAGATCCCTTCTGTGTGGACTACCTTGCCTCTCCGAGTCACCATCCTGCTACATTTCTCGAGCCCGAATGACATCCCGATGTCATGGCTGTAGATCCTGGTTGTTTGGATCAGAGAGTCGATGTCTCTCTCGCTCTTGGCGTACAGCTTGATGTCATCCATGTAGAGGAGGTGACTGATCTTTGCTCCGTTCCTGAGGCGGTATCCATAGCCAGTCTGGTCAATTACTTGGCTTAGAGGGTTGAGGCCTATGCAGAACAGTAGTGGGGACAGAGCATCTCCTTGGTAGATACCACATTTGATGGTCACTTGTGCGAGCGGCTTGCCATTTGCCTCAAGGGTGGTCTTCCACATTCCCATCGAGTTTGCAACGAAGTCCCTTAGAGCCCTGTTGATATTGTACAACTTCAAGCATTCCATGATCCATGTGTGTGGCATTGAGTCGTAGGCTTTCTGGTAATCAATCCAGGCTGTGCACAGGTTGGTGTGTCGTGACCGGCAGTCTTGGGCGACTGTTCTGTCAACCAGGAGCTGGTGTTTGGCTCCTCTGGTGTCCCTACCAATGCCCTTCTGTGCTGTGCTCATGAATTGTTCCATATGCCCACTTATCTTAGCCGCAATGATGCCTGACATGAGCTTCCATGTTGTGGAGAGACAGGTTATTGGCCGGTAGTTGGAGGGGACTGCACCCTTGACAGGGTCCTTCATGATCAGGACCGTTCGCCCTTCGGTTAGCCATTCTGGGTGAGTCCCATCTCTCAGCAGCTGGTTCATTTGTGCTGCTAGGCGCTCATGGAGTGATGTGAGTGTCCTTAGCCAGTAGGCATGGACCATATCAGGGCCAGGTGCTGTCCAGTTTTTCATACCTGAGACTCTTTCTCGGATGTCTGCCTCTGTGATGGTAACTGAGTTCTGTTCTGGGAGGTGGCTGTGCTCCTCTCTCAGGGACACCAGCCATTGTGCACTTCTGTTATGTGCTGCATCCTTCTCCCATATGTTCCTCCAGAACTGTTCAGTTTCCAGCCTCGGTGGATCTGCTCCCCTGTTGTTACCCTGCCACTGAGCGTACACCTTCGCAGGTTGTGTTGCGAACAGCCTGTTCACCCTTCTGGCTTCATTCTCTTTAGTGTACCTCTGTAGGCGGCTGGCCAGGGCTTGGAGCCTTTGTTTGGCAGTTTCGAGTGCTTCAGGTATGGTCATCTGGCTGTACTTTCTGGGTACTGGTCTTTTCATTGCACCTCTCTGGGCCTCTGTTAATTGACTCACTTCTCTCCGAGCCGCCTTGATCTTAGCCTCCAACCGTCTTTTCCATGGTGGGTATTGTCCATGGCTCCCATGGTTGCTCTTATAGCCAAGCATCTCTAGGATCACTGCTGCTGAAGTGTATATCAGCTCATTGGTTTCAGTGATTGTGGTGGTAGGTATTGCCCTCACTGCTGCATTCACGCTTTCTATGAGATCCTTAGGTGGTACTTCACACAACCGCTGTAACCGGTGTCTTTGCCCTGTGCCCATTCTAGCCATGATCTTAGCTTTCAGGTCAGTCGCTGCCTCGTTCAGCGTTATCGGTTCCATTGGGGCTATGTACCCAATATCTGGTTGGGGAGTTGCAGTTGGTGGGATCTCCCCTCTGACCTCGGCAACTGTGGCATCATACATGTGTTGTACTTCATCAATCTCAAGCTGTGATAGCAGTTGCCGTTTGTGGATGTTGGAGCATTGAGCTACCAGTTGTTTCGGGGTCAACTGTGACTGTGGGTTTCGAAGTAACCATTCAGCCCACATTCTCTGCATATAACCTCTTTGGCCAGGGTTACTCGAGTAGTAGCATTCCAACAGAGCCCTGTTATCGCATCTCGTCCACTTTCGCCTTGTTCCAGTAGCCCACTTTTCATCAAGGTGCTCTGGTTCCCCAGCACCTGACGCAGACCTTGTTTGGCCGGGCGACGGCTGATCCGGCATCTCATTGCTTATTTGTACCTTCATGGTTATGAGTTAGGCAGTAGCATTAAGGGTCTTGCCTAAGGACCCTCACTGGATGTTGGTGTTAATGTGCTCCCGGTGGGATTCGAACCCTGGCCTCCCAGGTCCCAGTCCTGTGCCCTACCAACTGAGCTATCCAGCTGCTATATATATATATATATATATATATATATATATATATATATATATATATATATATATATATATATATATATATATATATATATATATATATATATATATATATATATATATATATATATATATATATATATATATATATATATATATATATATATATATATATATATATATATATATAACCTATACAGACGAGACTACAATGACAAGCTGAACCACTTTGTGTCTATTTTGAAGGAGCAGACAAACAGGTGGTATGTAAGGGGAGCAACGTGAGACTTTTTTAATGTGTGTATTTAAAATAGAGATTACAATGTTTCACTTTTGGAATTATAATTTTGATATTCATAATATTTTTAAGGGTGTTGAGAAAATCAGCCCTCTGCTCAGCCCTTACTTTTGAATAATATTACAATTTGTATGAGTCTTCTTTAGGTCCAAATTGTGATACTGCAACGCAACGCAAACAACCTGGTCACACACTACAACTGCTGGGTGTTTTGAACCTTCATAAACCTTGATTAGTGTCCGGGGTAATAAGAATAAGAGAATGGAATGATGTGTATTCTTCTACATTTAGCATGAACAAATTATAACATGACTAGTGCTTTTTGTCACAATCAAAACACAAGTTTTTTTTTCCTTTTGTCAGTCATATCTGGCATGGTCAATGGCAATAAGGACCAACTATGTTTCAGAATGAAAAAAGTTG